AACAATTAATAGAATGAATGATTATGTATATTAGTTGTTGTACAGTGTTTCTCTAGATATATTTGTTTATGGTGTTCCTAGGGGGTTGGTATTTGTTAACTGCGAGTAGTATTTTTGAACTGCTGAGGTATACAAGGTAGACAAGTTACACATTATATGTGACCTAATTCCTATGAAATAATACAAAGGATTAGTGTTTAATACTATTAAGTTTGCTGAAATATTTTCTGGAAATATCAAACAGGTCACAATGAGATAAGGCACAAAGAAGCACTCAATTTAGTTTTAGTTCTTTTAAGAAAAAAATAAACTTCAGGGCTATTCTTTTGTAACTTATGGGTTTCTCCTCTTATGTTTAAAGAAGCACCAATTCCACTGTTCTGTCTGGATGGCTCTTACCTTGATGATGTTCAGGACCTGAATGTGAAGACTTTTCTGCTCTCCAAGACTTGGGTCAGGGCGATGGTTGAGCCTCTTTTGGATAGCTTTTTGTTCATATGTCTATCTTCAGGATGATCATGAATATTTTTTTCTTTTGTGATAGTTGTCCTACTTTTTAAATTGTGAGCTGTGCAGAGTCCTTAAGAGTTAGAAGGACTCCAAATTGGTTAAATAGATAAAGTTAAGTAAGCTTTGCAGAGCTGATAAGAGTGAGATTGTTTGGATCCTAAGATCAGCAGAGGGGATGGAAGGAGGAAAAGAATTTGTCTAGATTGAATATATTCAAAATTATTCTTATATGACAACTTTTAAGATTCATTAATATTAATTCAAGCATATCATTAAAACTCGTACACAGATGTTTGACAAGTGCCAGGATAAAGACCACCAATAATAGCTATTGGAAAATCCCATAACTCAGTGTTTCATGCAGGGATGTGAATGGGAAACAAGATCTTTGCAGACACTGGAATGACATATTGAAGATGGTTTAGCAGTGGTCTAGTTCTGGCCAGTTTGAAGTGATAAGGCTTAGCTAGAGTGACAGAACTCCTGCTTTTTAATTCTTACCTCCATGTTCAATTGGTTTTAAATATTTAATTCTTGTTGGTTTATATTTTTAGTTAATTACAGAAAATAAATAAATACATGCAGCAGCCCAGTTCCTCCTTTTTTTCTTTTTTAACAAAGTGGTACTCAGATAATTCCAAAATTGTTCCCATTTAAAGAAAGCAAAGAGATTTCTAAAACTCCTTTCATTCAGAAAATCTTACCTATAGGTGCTAAGGGGAATAATACTAGAAAAACAGACATTCTTCTCCTATGTTACACTGTGGAGTACTCTTTTAAAAGGATTTCTGTGTGCTTGATTGAATTTGTTCTATATTTGCATTCCAGCTGTCTTTCAACTTATTTGAGAACATATGCTAGAGAATTGGATATCATTGAATCCTGTGGGTGACCTGTTTTCAGTTAATTATATTTATTATTTATTTACATTTACTAAATTTGTAAGGTCATCCAACTCAAACAATGTGGTGCCCAACCAAAAACAACAACAAAGAATAAACTAAGGCAGGATAAAAACTTAATAATAATTTAAAAAGCCCCAAATATTTATTTACTATTGCAATTTATATAGCTCTCTGTGTATGTTGTTTTGTATTTGTTATTGTATTGTTGGCATTTGGGGGGGGCTGCTTAGTTGCTGTGAACCATATGCTCACAGCAACTAAGCAGCTCCCCCCCAAAAGTCAACAATACAACAATAAATACAAAACAAGACAAAACAACACACACACACACACACACACACACAAATACAAAATAGAAACATCTATATAATGACACAGTCTCTAGCCAGGTATGCTAAAAAACAGCAACTATAAAAAATAATAACAGGTTCTACCACAAGCAGATGGCAAAAACAAGTCTTTAAGGCCTAACAAAAAGTCAGGAAAGGGTTAAGACCAATCTGATCTCTTGGGGGATGATGTTCCAACAGGAAAAGCTCTTTCCCTGGTTCCACCAGCTGGCATTTCCTAGCAGATGGGACTGGGAACATGCCTCTCCGATCAGACCTCTCTTACCAAGAGAAGCAGTCCCTCAAGTAATATAACATATAAAATGGCAACTAAATGCAATAATAATAAAAACAACTAAAAGGGGAACTTGGACCTAAAAGCTTGAGGGAACCTCCCCCCCCAGTCTTAACGGTTTTCCTAAGGACAAGCACAATTGGGGCTTTATGTGTAGGTTGCTCCAGAATGTTGGTCAGGATATGGATATTGATCCCTAAGACAACTATATTCAGCACTAACTCTGGACCACCTTTGTCAATTCAGGCAGGGAGAATGCTTGGTGAGAAGGATAAATAGTGCATATAAGCCTTTCATATGCATAAGTAAAGTGGCAGGATGCCCAGGTTGTTGTTGTTGTTGTTGTTGATGATGATGATAATAATAATAATAATAATAGTTGGAAGGGACTTTGGAGGTCATCTAGTCCAACCCTTGCTCAGGCAGGAAACCCTACACCATTTCAGATAAATAGCTGTCCAATCTCTTCTTAAAAATTTCTACTGATTAATTGTTCTAACTGTCAAGAAGTTTCTCCTTAGTTCTAGGTTGTTCTCTTCTTGTCTTGCCTTCAGGCGCTTTGGAGAATAGCTTGACTCCTTTGTGGCAGCCCCTGAGATATTGGAACACTGCTATCATGTCCCCCCTCATCCTTCTCTTCATTAAACTAGACATACCCAAGTCCAGCAACCGTTCTTTATATTTTTTAGCCTCCAGTCCCCTAATCATCTTTGTTGCTCTTCTCTTCTCTTCTCTTCTCTTCTCTTCTCTTCTCTTCTCTTCTCTTCTCTTCTCTTCTCTTCTTCTTTCTAGAGTCTCAACATATTTTTAAAATCGTGGTGACCAAAACTGGATGCAGTATTCCAAGTGTGGCCTTACCAAGGCATTGTTAAGTGGTATTAACACTTCATGTGATCTTGATCCAGCAGCCCAACATAAAATATATATCAGATTGCCACACAATCATGTAGAAAGCAAAAAGAAGGAATTGTAATATTATCTACATCCCATCTTCACCTTAAGTACCTGTGAGCATGGTGGGGGACAACAAACTTCCTACCTCTACCCTCCTGATACAAACCAGATTGGGCTATCTATGCATAATTAACCTTTGGCAACAAAGATTTACTAATTATTATGCTGAACTTTCAGGACCAACATGAATGGGTAAAAAGACAGATCAATAGGTTTGTCAGAAACTTTCCATCTGGCAGAACAACTGTAACCATCACCAGAGATTGTGCTTCTCTTCATCTAGGTTGCTTGTAACATATCTCCTATTGCATATCCCTCTCTGTTTATTGCATCTAATCTTCAATGGACACTATCATTCCCTAATCACCAAGAAGGTAGACTTAGTTATGCATAGAATCAAAGTCGCCAGCAAACAGATGAGAAACCAGAACAGCCACAATCTCATTTTCTCATCTCACATTTATTTCTATGAATTATATTGACTACCAATTAAAGAAGTCTATGGTGAATCCCTCTATTTAAATTTAAAAAGGTTCTTGTCTAGTAACGGCACCTCAGATGTGCTGCTGGATACCACAGATATAGTTTTCGAGGATTTGATTCCAAGCAAATACTGTCAGCTTGTTTTTATCAGCCATGATAAGAAAAAAACAATGTATTTCCCTATTCTTGTGCTAGTAGTAGTCAAACACATCTACAGATTATGTTGTAATTTCCTCTCTGCTTCACAATCATGTCTGATGTTTTTCAGTGTGCTAACTACTAGTTTCTGCATCAAGTTATTGGGAATCATCTGGACCCAGAAATGCATTTGCTAAATATCAAAGCCCAAAGTGCCAGCAAGAATAGAACAGTACTCTAGCCGAAGTCATCCAGGAATGGCTCCCTTACATACAATTTTGGCAACTTTAAGTAGTGTGGACTTCAGCTCCAGAATTCACCACATATCTTGAAGTTGCCAAGGTTGAGAAACAATGACCTAGATGATTGAGCAATAAACACAACAGTAAAGATTCTAGAATGGAAAGAAATTGCAATTTAGAGTAGAATGTATCTAAAAAGAGTTATGAGGGCATCAGTCTGGAAAGATTGCTAGTTATTAATTGCCAAAACTGGGCAAAATAGAAGCTGTAAACTAATTAATCTGAAAATCATTTATTATGTTCTTATATATTTATATTGGTTTAAGGCATGCACTTTATGTAAATATACCAAATATAGATATTTGTTTGGGATAAATTAATTTTAATTTTTCATTCCTGTTTCGAGCTTTCAGTTTTTAGGATCTACTAAGATAGAAATAGAGTTAAAGCCATTGGCTATGTTTATTCAACATGCTAAACTCTAATGTGTTTTGAATGGTTTTGGCTTAGAATTAAACCATTATTATGATTTGCAGGTTATAATTAATACTTTAATGCATTGTGTCAAACTAGACAATTTTAATCAGTTATGGTGAAACCATGAATAGTGCATGGAGGAACTAAGTGGCGCTAGATGGCTGGAAAGGCAACCCTAGCCCACTAATAATAAAAACCCACTTTGCATTTTAAGTGGGAAGTCTTTGGCAGGGACTTCTTCACTAAAGACAGCCTTATATGTATGATTTGAGTCAAGAGACCATACAAATTTACTGGATTAATTACAGCACACCTAGAATTTGCATAGCTTAGGTGTCAAACTTTTGAAATCACTGGGGAAAAATATGCTGGATATATTTGAATAAATAAGCCCTGTAAGAAAATTGTAATCTGTGCCTGCGGATATTGCAGAAGGAAGAAAAACGACTACATTTTCTGAAGTTTCTATAAAGAATTATTCAGCCATTTGAAGGAAATATGTTGTGGCATGCTCTAAGATTAATTATCCCAAGACTGCTTGTTGTTTAAAATTTGACTACTGTTATTTGAAGAAAACACAATTTGCTTAGTGCTAGTTCTGATTATTTTTCTCCTGCTCTTCCAATCCAATATTAATTGCTCCATTGCTTGTTTGCTTGCTTTCTAGCTTCAGCACAACAATCAGATGAAGGTTCTGACATTGATTCTGAGCCAGATTTGCCCCTGAAGAGAAAACAACGTCGAAGCAGAACCACTTTCACGGCAGAACAGTTAGAAGAGCTGGAGAGAGCTTTCGAGAGGACTCATTATCCTGACATATACACCAGAGAGGAACTTGCACAAAGAGCTAAACTCACGGAGGCTCGGGTTCAGGTGAGTATTGTCCTAAAACTTTCAAACAGCCTTCTTCTATTAGTTGTATGGGAGAGCAAATATTTCTTTTAGATTTTTTTTTCTTGGTGAAGAATTATGAGATAAGCTATGTTGCAAGACTATACTTTATTTTGAGGAGTTATCAGAACATTTGGTAGTGCTGAAAGAAGCTGTTTGGTGAACCCCACATTTGATGCTTAATTTATTTAGGTAACTGTTGAAGGTAAGAAAATCAGTGTGATTTATATTTTTAAACACAGGTGATGGACCTCATTTTTATCTTTTAAAACAGAAAGTATAAAAGATAAATACATAAAAACAGATCATTAAAAATATGTGCTTGTTTCAGATATTGAAACTGAAAATTAAATTAACTATGCCTAAAAATTAACTACTAAAAACTCTGCAAATTTGGACTCCTTACTTTAAATATTTGCATATTCAGTTCTGGGATGTCTGCTTTAATGAGGACCATCAACATTCATATTTTTTTTAATGCAGTGACTCACAGCTACAAGAAAAGCAGAAGTCTCATTAACATAACAGCTGTCTTAATGTGGCTTTAACCCTGTGACATTTTACATGCCTTATGGTTTTTTTTTTGGTTCCCTTGAGACACATTGTGTCTCACACTCATTCCGGTGATATCCAGTCTAGCAAATTTTCTACTGTGTAGAACATATGGACTTTCTCCTTAAAACAGCACAAAGGGGGGAACAATCCCAATCAATCAATGGTTAAAGTATCAGAGGAGGTGAACTTTTGGGAATTAAAAGAAGAGCTGGGCACTTAAGTGCCACTTTGCACTATTGAAATAGAAAACTCCAGAGAGCTGACTCTATCTCCCCAACCACCATATCTCCAAGGTCTCTCTTATATGCTCAAAGGCACATTTCTGTTTAAATCTTGGTGCTTCTGTAGTCACATAAATACTTCAATTCATACTTGAGGAAATTCTTAAGTTGCAGCCAGAAAAAGTTATCTGCTAGTAAAGAGTGGTTCAAAAAGGGCTGCATTTACTGAATGGCTATTATTTGAACTATATTCAGTTTTACAGAAAGATTTACATTAATGGTGGCAAATATATAAACCAAGGGAATATAGGTAAGACAGAGGCAGTAAGAAAGTATGTACATAAAGTTCTAATGATAGATATATTAACCTATTATGAGATTTGGAATTGTTAAAAAAAGCAATAAAAATCCTGGATAAAGTGAATTGCTAAATAAATAAATGGAGCCAAATGCTGTTGAACAAGGATTTTTTTTGGAATAATTTTTTTTTGAAAAAAAAAAAGACACACTTTAACCAATCTCTTGTCCAAAAAATATATCAGAGTAAATTACTGCAGCAATATTATTGGGGTAGCTCCTTGGGATGGCCAATGTAAAAAATATTATTTGCAAATTTTACTCCCTTTAAAACTTTAACAGCAATTGGCTGTCAAATGTCAATATAAAACACCAGGTGACTCATAAAGTAGTCCTCAACTTATGATTTCTTCACATCCTCTTCACGACCTCTTTTCTATGGTATCCAAAGCAGAACATCCAGATTCAGTCATAGTTTTGTTCCATACAGTATTAACCTAGTGAACTCTAAAGCTTCTTCTTTCCGCTATCTATTCAAGATGGACAGTGATTAATATTTATGTTTTTTATAAGTAAAGGTGTAGGTTTATACATATGTTGTATATAGCATGTTTAAATGTGTGTTATGTATGTGTACACTTTTGAAAGCAAGCAACAAAATTTCATTTTTAATGTGTGCCATTGTGCCCCCAGTAAAAAAATGACAAAAAACCGACATCTATCTATTATAGTTTGGATTGGAACTTCTGTTGCTAAGGCATGGTAAATAAATAAGTTGTGCATAATTTTATGACCTATTTTGCTGTGGTCATTAAGCAAATCAGTATTGTTGTTAAGCAAATCACTGCTGTTGTTAGGCAAATCACATAGCACATCTGGGTTCCTGCTTTGATTTTGCTTGTTGGAACCCCTCTAGAAAGGTCGCAAACAGTGATCACATGAATCAGGGACAGCTGCAATATTCTAAATGTAAGGACTGATCATAGGTGATGTTTTTCAGTGTTAACTACAGGACTACTTTTATTAAACATTATTCAGTGTTAAATAATATTCTTGGATATCAGATCTGGAAAATATTTGGCACCGTAATTTACAGGGAAGTATTCTGAGAGTTTATGGTGCAAAATGTTTTTGGTTTTGGCATAGTATTTCCAGGATTAACATTTAGTGATGACCATTTAATACTTGTTACAACTCATCACTGTGTCAGAAAGCATTCTGAATTTTTCTATGCAAATTTTCTCATATTAAAACTATGTTATCTTCAATCAGTATTGGCACTTCGCTTTTGGGATGTTTAAGTTCAAGTCACACACCAGAAATTCAAGCTTTCGATCTTAACTATATTTCATATAATAAAGACTCATGAACACAATTAAGCAATGTCTTATTTACAGTTTAGGGCAGTGTTTCTCAACCTTAGCAACTTTAAGAGGTGTGGGCTTCAACTCCCAGAATTCCACAACCAGCATGATTAGATAAATGTTTTTCTTAACAGTAAATTGCGATGGGCTGCAGCAAAATTCCCTGTGAAAAATAGTACAAGCATTTCAATGGGTTTGGATGTATCGGTCCAATATATTCAGCTTTGGAATGAAACAGACTAGATGACCTTGCAGATGATTTCCAACTCAATTTCACAATATTTACATTTTTCCTTTGTTATCATTTTTCTCTGAAGTAATTTATAACTGGACAAGGCAAGATCTTATTCCCTTGATGCTGGCCGGGTATCCTTTCAAAGCTGTGGTTCTTCCCCCAGGCTTAACTTCGTGAAATTGGCCGTGACATTTCAACTGCCTTATCCTAAACAGAGAATTACCAATGTGCTTTTAAGGGAACAAGATCTCTCATTCAAATAGGCAAAATGTTTGAAAAGAGAATTTATCAAGACAATAGAGGATAGTTTCCTCTAAACAGAGCCTGAGCTTTACAAGGATGAATGCCAAATACATACCAAATCAAAAGACTAGTGCATTGATAGAGACACATCTAATTTAAGCCAGAAAATGTGCCTCCCTCTTTGTTGTAATACTGTATATCTGAAGTATTTATTTAATTTTAGGTTGCTTCAGTGGCCATGAAAGAAATGACAAGGAGGGGGAGCTAAAGATTGGAAGTAATGGAAATTAAAGGCTGGAAGGATATGAACAAAAAAGACAGGGAAAGAATGATGGAATTTTGGATAACAGGAAAAACAAAATTAGGAAGTTTGCCACTGCAAAAGTATCACAAAGGTAGCACAAAAATACACTGAGACATAAACATACACCAATACACACAATATGTCAAGTGTCCCATCAGCTCCTTTGTCATTATGTTGCAGACACAACCCCATGGTACGTGTCTTCCCCAGCCTGGTGCCCTCCCACTATGATGTTCTTATTCTCAGATCATCCCAGTTATCATGCTTTTGATTGATAATGCCTTTTTTTAGAAAATTGTAAGAGAATAAATATTTCTAAAGTACTGAAATATATAAGGAATCGTGATCTAGATATGGACAAGGATGTGTATCAGAGGAAAGTTTGTATCTTTCCAATGTTGTTGTCCTGTAGTTATGCTTATTTTCATTAGCAATGGATCTCCCATCTTCATATTGGTCCAATTAACTTTTCAGAACAGTTATGGACTGGAGGGTATGCCTTTATAGGCTGAAAGATGGGATGAAGGAAAGAATAGAAAGAAATGTGTTTCAAGCCCTATGTTCACTGGTGGCTCATTTTCATACACTTGGAAGGAAACACAGCAGCATTTCCTTTGTTGTGGAGAATATGCACATCATCCCAATCATGAAATGATTGGTTCTTGAAAAACAAAGTAGTGACAAGACAGTGGCAAATGGTATACCAGTAAAGGGTGATATCTTGTATTGGTAAGATTCAATTTCTAGTTCATAAATGGAATAATAGTGATGCACAGTCTTGTATTTTATATCAATGGTAGAAATATCTTGAGGCAGTATTGCAAATGTGACAAAACATGGTCTCAAGAAATTGGTCCTTTAACTCATAACCTGGATATTTTGTTAGCACAATAGGGAAAAAGTGAAGCATTAAGTGAAATCAGAAAGGTATGTCCTAAATTGGAAAACTCATATGATTATATTTTTTAAACTAAAATTGGTCAATGTAAACACACTAAGGAACTATGTCTTTTTATTTTAAGAAAAGGCAAGTTTTCTTAATGAGAAAATGTAATAAAAAGTGGCAATTAATTAAAAATAATTACTGCTATTTGGATAATGAAAATAGTAAAATAAATAGAATAATTGAATACAATTGACAAGCAAATTAAAATAATAATTATAACTGTTGATAGGTAAATTAAAATAATTACAACTAGAATAAAATGTCCAGTAAAATAGAAGAATCTTCACAGTGCAAAGAATAAGCAGGTAAAGAACTTTAATGGAGTGTATTTAACATTGAATACAATCACAAATTAGGCTTTTTCACATCCCACAACTAACTTAACCCAGGATAAGGCTATCTTTATAAAATATTAGAATAAATATCTAGAATAGAATAGATGCAGCTTAGATATGGGATAAATAGCATCTTGAAACGAAATGTTTGTGTAGATTTCAGTCATCCAGGTCACAGCTTTCTCAAAGGTGGTTTTTCAAAAGACAACTGGATTGTTTTTTCCTTGAGGAAAAAGAACGGATGGAACAGAATGAACAACCAGAACCGATGACGCTTCTTGGATGAGAAGCAAAACTTCTTCTCTTTCTTCTTCTCCTCTTCCTCCTCCTCTTCCTGTTGGAAAAAGTTCAGTTGCCTTTTGAAAAAACAACCTTGAAACATCTCGAAACCAAGGAAAATGAGACAAATAAGGTTTTATGGATACTAACTAGCTTTTGAGGTAAAGCTGATATATTTTAATAATTAGTATAATTGGGCATACTCTATTCATTCAGCTATGTACAGTGACCCTTAATTCTGAATTAGTTAAAACTTTCATAAGTCTTTTAGTTAATCTAATCCAATGCAAGTAAGTCCTATATCAATACAGTCTGACAAATGCTGAATGTATTTCAAAATGACTTAAGCTATTTTCAACTATTTCTAGGTTTGGTTCAGTAATCGTCGAGCCAGATGGAGGAAGCAAGCTGGAGCCAATCAACTGATGGCTTTCAATCACTTGATTCCAGGAGGCTTCCCACCCTCTGCCATGCCAACTCTGCCAACTTATCAGTTGTCAGAATCTTCCTATCAGCCTACTTCTATTCCACAAGGTAGACTTGAAAAATTATTTTGAACTATACTTTGACATATTACTTAGTCCTCTGTGGTTCTGAATATCTGAAAAAACATTATAGTTACATGTCTTAAATGTTTACACTGGTTTCAGTGGATCAGTGTTAACATGGAAGGTGAAATCTGGAAGTCAGTTTCAGATGTTTATCCTTTCCAATTGGAGAACTTCTAGATGTGTGGCTAGGGATGAAAACTATTATATTGCCATATGTTTGGAGAGTTATGAATTGTAGCTTGATCAGGTTCATCACCCATTCTGGTCCATCATTGAAGGTATCTGTTTTATAATGGTAAACGGTATGTTTGATGCTGGCTCCAAGAATAAATTCTGACAAAAGTTGGATATAATACTTGGGCAGACAAAAGCCAGACCGGAATTTGAAGAGCCCTGAAACTTTATTAAACAATCATGTGCTTTATTATAGAAAACTTAAAATCAGTTGTTGTCATGGATTCTGTTGTTTAAACAAGGAATTCTGAATTATAGCTGAGCAAACTCAGAGTTTTGAATCTATTGTTAGACTCTCCTAATAGTTTCATTGCACATAAGTTCTTATAGTCTCACAGTTTACTGATACAGTCCTAGAGTTACTTGGAATCATATGAAAGTGATCAATCTGAGAGTTTCCTAAATTAATGACTTCCTTCCAAAGTTTGATGATTTATATTTTTTATAATATGTTAATTATCTCAATAGTTCGATAAGTTTCTTTCAAAATTTCAGTGTACTCCTAATGCTTTTGTCATTGGTCTCATATCTTGGACTCCCTTCCCTGATTCCTTCTTCCTATTTCTCTTTCCCTTGTATCACTTATCTATTTTTAAAAACTAAGGTTTTCCTGACTCAAAACATGTGTAAGGAAGTGAAGCGCAAAGGGGAAGGCAGACATGTAAGAAACAAAAGTATGACTCCAATCTCCAAAACCTGCTCTTCCATTATAGTCCAAGTGATCCTAAGAATGAGCTTAGCTAAGTTTGAATAAGCTAAACCAAACAGAATAGGTTATATAATGGTTTTACATATGATGTGTACTCAACATTGAACGGTTTTGAATATTGGGAACTGGTCTGGGTGATCCTTTCTATGATCTAGGTTTGGCTTTTGAATGGGAAAATGAGGAAATTCATACCTGTGTCCCTTTTTCATTGCAGCTGTGTCAGACCCAAGCAGTACAGTTCACCGACCTCAGCCTCTTCCACCAAGCACGGTACACCAAAGCAGCCTTCCTTCAAATCCAGACAGTAGCTCTGCCTACTGCCTACCAAGCACAAGGCACGGCTTTTCCAGCTATACAGACAGCTTTGTGCCTCCTTCTGGGCCCTCAAATCCTATGAACCCTGCCATTGGCAATGGCCTTTCACCTCAGGTCAGTCCTGCTTTTTCAGACACAGGATTTGCTGTATACCCAAACTAAATTGTCTGTTCCCCAAGGCCATCATACAATGATTTGCCAAATTTAAACCATAAAGTATTCTTTATATAAGCCACATGATTCCAGTTTGCTAGTTTCCTCCCTCCTCCTTTTCTACTGACAGAATCAAAAGTCATAGCTTATATTTAGTTTAAGGCAATGTTTCATAATGCAACCCCAAAGCCTTTTTGCTTGTATTCGGCTGTCAGGCATGTATGATGTTTCCATAATATATATTTTTAAAGTTGATTTTTTTCCCTTTCCCTGTCTTTTCTTAAAAAAAAAAACCTCTACAGAGTCATTGATTTTTGGTCTTGATTCTTTGTCATGAAAATAATGAAAAAGATATGTACTGTTTAAATTTAACCTTAGGAGTAGGTTGCTCATTACCTCAGCTGATGAGCAATCCACATTAAGCTGAGCTATAATCAAATTATGAATACATAAATTAAGAGCATTACTGCTCTCAGGAAGCTTATAATGACTTGAAGGACATAATTGTTTTCCTAATGTGCATGAGATTTTCTTCGATGATCATGTTAATAAATTGCCTTGATAATTGAGTGCCAGAAAAGGTTGGTTAAACTTCCTTCTTCTGGCACAAGTCTTCAGCTTGACATTATTAGTTTCTGGTAAAATATTCTGCAGTTTATTCTATTAGTGTGGATTTAGCACAGGTGTTTTGGAGAAGTATCCACTGAATTTTGAGCAATGTCACAGAATTGGGGGAGGAAGCAATCTATAATTACAATCAGGAAATCTCTTCAGGGATGTGAGAATTTTAACAGCTTTATTTTCTTTCTGCTCTTTCTCTGTGGGGTTAAAAAAAACAGAAGGAAGCTTGGAATGACACAAATGAAAAGTGAAAAGACAATTATACTGAATTACACACTAATCACTGACTATCACCACTGCGTAAGCAGTAAGAGGGCATTCTAATAGGCAGAAAATGAGATTTTAATAGCACAAAGGGTGGCCAAAATAACGACTCCTATATCTTTTGCTTTTTTCATTTTCTGCAACTTGAGGTCTGCATCTCCAGAGCACACTTCCTGGTTTCTGTACCATGGTGATAACTCTGTGCAGCTGAAGAGTTCAAAGGCAATAGAGTTGAAAAGGATGAATAGCAAAGGCAATGAAATAAACATTTTTGCCTGAAGGCAAAAGTTCATAAACTATTTTTTGTAACAGTAAATGTAATTAAGTTTCAGTGATTCCTATAGCACACAGTGGAATACAAAACTGCATGGCTTTAGACCTTAGCAAAAGAAAGATAGGCTGCCATGTGAAAACAAGTTGATATATTTTTCAGTAACAGGGTTTTCAAGATTGTCAATTTCTAAGTGTAGTCTTTAACAAAGACTTGACATTATATGGTGCTATAGTAGCCCATAATTTCTGGCATTAGAATCAACACACTGTTGATCATTAATGTATTAATGTTTTCTCTTTTAATGGAAACAAAATTATCGTGAAAGAGCAATGAAAAAGTTCAGTGATATTTGGATCAATTATAGTTAATGTCCCTAATAGTCCATTAAATAAACCAATCACTTTTTGATGACTAAACTGAGCCGAGGTGGCGCAGCAGTTAGAGTGCAGTACTGCAGTCCACTTTAGCTGACTGTGTTCAGCAGGTCAGCGGTTCAAATCTCACCGGCTCAAGGTTGACTCAGCCTTCCATCCTTCCGGGGTAGGTAAAATGAGGACCCAGATTGTTGGGGGCAATGTAAATATATATATACATTGCTTACTGGTGTACACCGCTTAGAGAGTGCTTGCACTTAAAGCGGTATATAAGTCTCATAAATAAATCTAGGAGTTAATAAAATGGAACAGTCTGGAGCTGTTTGCTTAAGAAATACAGTGTTCATACAAAAGGCATAATATTTAAAAATTTATTGCTATGAATATTGGCAAGAATTGATTATGATGCTATTTCAGATACTGGTTGCACAACTAATTTGAGAAGACACTATATTCAATATAAAACAGCAGAAATCTGCTTTTGGCAGTGATATAGAGAATTAAATTTAATACCCATACAAGTGTACATACAATACACTCATAAAAACTAATGTTATGCTATTAATGTAAGATAGAGATTCTGGAACATCAAAGTTTGAAACTTTAAAACCTCCATCATTGCCCAGTATTTGTTTTCTCAGAAATTCTGAAATGTCAACATTTTGAATCCATTTCCAGTCTAAATTCAGGCGCTAAATGAAGTTACCTGAAGATAAGACATTGCTGAAATCACAGTATAGCTTATTTAAAGTTGAGGTAAAACTAGGTTTCATAGAATATTAAGTTGTAAAAGGAATTTTGTATTTGCAAAAATTGCATATATATGTGTAGATGGGTGGTTGGGTGGGTTCTGTGTCTGTCTCATTGTGTGTATGTGTGCAGCCTCCTCCTCATTCTTCAGTTTAATCCCAAGGAGAGAAGTCATGAGGCAACTCATTTACTGGACATTAGGATACTAATCACTAAAAGGGCGAGAATCTTGTTGAAAATGTTCTTCTTTCCCTGAAAACATTAAAATAAATAATATGTCCAATTTCTCTGCCATAGTTTTGGCGGAAGAAATTTGGAGCCATAGAATCTTCAGAGTGATGAAAAGATATGCAACATTAAAAACTGTGCCAGCAATAGCACCCTCTCTCATGTCTAATAATTAAATATTATTAAATAAAGACTACAAAGAAGGTGAGGGGTAGGAGGCATCTTTTGAGAAATTGCAAAACAGATTTTGGTCCTGTACCACATTAGTATAAAGCAGTGGTTCTCAACGTTTGTGTGACGGCGACCCCGGTCACACAAACGTGCTGCGCATGCGCGGTGCCCCCCATGCGCAGCGGTGCGCATGCGCAGCACCCCCATGCGCGGCGGTGTGCATGCGCGGTGCTGCCCCCTGAGGGGGAAAAATGGCGGATCGCCTTGTTTGGCAACCCCCGAGAAATGGTCGATCGACCCCAAATGGGGTCACGACCCATAGGTTGAGAACCGCTGGTATAAAGTATCTCTTAATCTATACTGAAGAACCAACAAGAATCTGGCTTAGTTCTAAACCTGTACATCTCAACTTCTTTCAGATTTAGAGCAAATCTGTATTTCTCATCAGCTTGACTGATTATTCTTCTGGTATCTGTTTTAGTCATTAATACCTGATGGTGGTAAGAGCTCTTCTGCCATAAATGGTTGATCTTTGCTGGAATAAAGGTTAATTGTGTCAAGGTTCCATTCGGTCTTTGCCACCTGGAGCCTTCAACGTATGGAAGTATCACCCCTTGTAGGTAGTCAGTAAGGATAGCTGCTCTGGTTGAAGACATATAGAAAGCATTCAGTTGCCAAGGCTGGTTCTCAAATCAGTTATATACATTTTTAAAAAATTCTTCCATTCTGTGATCCCAAGAACAGGACAGAAAGGATATTAGAGGTATATAATATATGTAATTTATATAAATTATATATTTGAATATACCATGTATAGCATGTTGCTGAAGATTTTCAGTCATTCAGGTAGAATTGTCTGGAAGTTGAATCATTTGCTGTTTAGAAGTTACTTGGATAAGCAGCAAACATTTCAAAACAAAAAGAAAAAAAAGGTCAAGTTGCCACGACTCAAGTTTCAGACATCATGTATAGTACGTATATAAACTGTATATTTAATGTCAGCTTTTTAATTACATTTTCTAAGTTCATACAATAACTTTCAGACTATTGCTGTTTTTTCTGCAAATGAGACAAAGTTTTATCATTTTCTTTTGATAAACATTTGTGAAGCCTAAAGCACAGAGACAAAGCTACTACTGCTGTGAATGTAATAACACTGCTGATTTGGTATATCAGATTATTTCCTTAACATTTTCTTTTTTTTTAAAAAAAATGACAGTTACAATTCAGTGTACAATACTCTCCATTTATTCATTTATTTATTGCTTTGCTTAGGATTTCAACATTTAAGATATTGCAACATACCTTTGCAGTTTTATCAATGAACACACGTCAAGTTATTTGCTAAAAAGTATTATTGCTGTCTAAAAAGCCAAGAGTCATAGGTAGGAACCACAAACACATTAAACTGAATGAATGGATATCTTGTATTAAAAAAAATCTTCTATGATCTAGACCATAGATCATAGATCATTTTTAATTTATTACTATTGTATTTGTTTGTTTTCAGAAGACATACCGGGGAGGATTTATATCTGAGAAACCAAAATAATTTGGATCAGATATATGCATTGATATATGAAAAAAAGTGATAGAGATATTTTAAAAAATATTTTTATGTCTGAAAAAGTCCCTCTGATCTATTATTTTATGTCATTTTTAATAATTAGGAGTGACAATTCATAGATGTTGCCATTTATAACATTATTTCAGGAGCTACTGAGGAGTTAGGCAAAATATAGTGAATTGTGGATTCTTCTGCAGTTTTAAACTTGTATAAAAAGTATACACTATGACATCTGTAGCAGTGCAGAATTCCTTCCTCCCATATTCTCATGATGGGAACAAAAGAAACAAAAAATGATGCTTGTTTTGGCTAAAGAAAGTGAAGTAGACTTTACCTCTGGCATTTAGAATGGTATTATTTTTTTCTTTAAAATTGGATATTTTGGATTGAGATCAAATTGTTGAATATTGACAGCCTGATACATGAACCTAACTGAAGCTTTTGGATATAAAATAATGCATTGTAGTCAAAGTTAGTTTAATCTAAATCTAAGAAGTTCATATAAAGATTTACAGATTTTGTCAAATTCTCCTATATCACGGTATGTCATTTTTCTATTACTTTAATTCATCTAGGGGTTAACAAACTACAGTAAGTACAAACTTTGAGAAAAACACTGAACAACTTGAAAACCGTAGCCCTTATATTGGTTACTTGCTGTTAAATTTAATTTTGTAAAAAAAAACCCCATTTTATTTATTTTCACACTTCT